TTTCTTAGACAACAAATGATGGATTTGTGGACATTCAGGCCCTAACTGACCTGCAGTATCCAGTGACTAGCTGCTCGTTCTTGTCATTTTCTTGCCATTTGTGGCATCTAATGTCAATAAAACTGCAATTTAGGAAGAGTGTATGTACTGCTCACTATCTGAACATTGTCCTTTAGATCTACACTGGACCAGGCCATGGATTAACTATATGGTTGAGAATTCGTCACCAGTTTAGCAGCTCAAAAACTTTTAATCCACAGTCGGCTGAATTTACCGACTGCATGCTGCATTTGTATTTTAGTTCAACGTGAATGCACATTGATGCTTTATGACACAAAAATCTTTTTGTAGATGTATGTGACGGGTGCAATTGATGGATCAACAAATTCAAGACTGAAGAGTTTTTATTTGTTCATGCAGTGGGATGCAATGTGACTGTTTCTCAAGGTTGTGAAATAGCAATAAGACATTCTAAAGAGGACAGATCTTAAAAAGCAGTAGAACATATCTGAGAACATGCATGGTTTCCTTCAAAAATACAACATTTGTACTCCAGAGAGTGTTCTATTCTAAGGACTGTGAGACAAAATAGTAGTTATTCACTTCTTTCTTCATTTTTTTTTCTTTAAAGAGCCTATTCATCATATTTGTAGAGGTGTTTATCCAATTCAGTTTTGTTGTTTGTTTCATGTTTTTGGTGAATGGTTGTAGTAGTAGTAGTGTATTGTGAATGTAGAAGAATTTTAAATGAATTGTTAAAAACTCAAATTCTTTCTTCCTTTCTGTGTTTCTTTCATTTTTAAATCACCCTCATTATTATAACCAGAGCGCTCCTTATCACCGCCCGCCTGAGCGTTCCCGGTGTATTAGATGGGCGTCCACTGAACTGTGTCGTCAGAGTAGGCGGGCACAAACGTCCCGAACAGGCCAATCAGGAAGCGAGTTTGGCTGGATTGACACCTCGGTGGCGAAAAACTGCGGGCCAGCTGTCACGGCGCGCGAAAGATCAAATCTGCTCCCCGGTGCGGCTGAACAGGCGGGAGGACCGAGCACCGACCGGAGAAAACACCCGTACATGCGCTTCGAAACGCCGCAATAACACTCAAGTCCCGCTGAGGCTCACTTTGGCGGCTGCCCGCGGTCCGACGAAGCTTCGCGTCTGCCGGTTCATCCCCGCTGAAGGCGGTGAAGTCAGCGGACAGAGATGAGCCTGGTGGTCCCGCAACAACAGGTGAGCCAACGGTTGGAGTTCCCGGTAGCTCGTTCAGGTGTCTACCGGGAAATTTCCAGGCTGACATGTGTGTCTTTAATGGGTAGAAGTTATGAGGAAACACTGACAGAATTGAAAGTGCTCCAAATTATGAGCTATCTGCTAACTACACTTATTGTTAGCCGCTTAGTTAGCTAGCTAACGAGCTAGTTTAGCCTGCCGTGATGGATGGTGCTACTTGGCCTGGTGGCGTCGATTAACCACGTCAATGTGGCGTTTTAACTTCACCGATTCCTGCTAAAATCTCATATATGATTACGTTAAGATCTAGGGGACAGTTCAGGGATCGTAATCACGTGTCTATGACCTTTCTCCATGGATGAAAACGTGCCTTTAGCAAACCGCGGAGCCGGAGAGGAAGCCATGACGGAGCTCATTGTTTGGTTCGTTCTAAGGCGCCACCAAAGTCATTTAAGGTTCATTTGGCTGCACAGAGTCACACAATCCACTTTAAATGCTCCACGTTACCTTCTGCAAACGACTCACATTTTCCTGCATGTGTTCTGAAAAATACAGACACTTGCTTTAACTTTGATATCGTAGAAAAAGTGGTGCAGTGTTTTTGTTTTTTATTTTGCACAGTTGCAAATAAGAGTTTAACACCTGAAATCAATTTCTAGTACCACTAATTTTAATTAAAGTATGTTTATAGCACATACAGCTGCAAGAAGTAGAACCAAACTCTAAAATCTAGCAGTTTGTGCCTTTAGATGAAGGAAATAGTGGATATTGAACTTTAAAAAAAAAAACAGAAAGGCTGCAATTAACTATTATTTTCATTGTCAGTGAATTTATTGATTATTTTCTGGACTAGTCCATTAGTCATTGGTCTGTAAAACAACATCAAAAAAATGTACAAGATGACATCCTTGAGTGTCTGTACACCCAAAGATATGCAGTTTACTGTCATAGAGAAGGAAAGAAACCACATTGCAATCAGACTTTTTAAAAACTCAAACTGATAAATGCTTTATCAAAACACTCGGTGAATAATTTGATGGCTGACAGCAATCTATAAGATTAGCACAATGTTTTATGTGCATATACTTGGATTCATGTGTCTGATATGAAAATCCTGTGAATATTTGGAGTTTCTGTAATTGGAGCTGCAGCCAATGATTTTTTTCATTGTTGATTATTCTGTTTATTGTTTTTTTGTGGCGAATCAATTCGTTGTTCGGTCTGTAAAATGTCAGAAAGTGGTGAAAAATGTCAAATGTCTGTTGATTCAAAGATATTCAGTTTACTGTCATAGAAGATAAAAGAAACCAGAAGATTTTTACAACAAAGAAACTCCAAACAAGGGCTTTGTTCTTCTTTAAAGAAAATGCTCATTGATTATGAATTTATCTAAACAGTAGGTGATTAATTTGACAGCTAACAACTGATTGATTATTGTATATAAGGATAGCGAAATGTTTATTGTGTATTTACTTGCGTGTATTTATCTGAAAATAGTGTTATTAATTCTGTGAGTATTTGGAATTACTATGTTTAGAGCTGCAACTAATTATTTTTATCAGTGATTAGTCTGTTAATTAGTTTCTGGACAAATCAATTAGTTGTGTAACCTATAAAATGTCAGAAAGTGGTGAATCACATGTCTGTTAACTGAAAGGTCTTCAGTTTATTGTCATAAAAGAAGGAAAAAAACAGAAAATATCCACATTGCAGAAGTTGAAATCAAAGAATTTTGACTTTTCTCTAACATGATTAATTGGTGTGAGTTATTTTTGTATTGAAATAGTGAATTCAATTAATAAGACAGTTGTCAACTAATTGACTAATCATATTTTAGAATAACAAAATGTTTTATGTGTATATGTATTAGCATGTATGTATCTCGATTAACCGGAAAGTCATGCTATTAATTCTGTGGGTATTTAAAGTTACTATAATTAACGGTTATATTCATTCTCAGTTAGTCTGTTGGCTGTTTTCTTGAGGAACAGATTTGATGTTTGGGCCATAAAATGTCTGAAAACTGTGAAAATTGTTGAGTGTTTCTCAAAATCCAAGATGATAAAGGATTTTTTTTTCCCCACAACTTGAAGATTTTTTGTTTACTGTCATAGAAAAGGAAGGAAACCAGAAAATATTTTGGAAGTTACAACTACAAAATATAGTATTTTAATGAATTGATACTCGATTGATTTATGAGTCTGCTGTAGCTCTACTGAAGTGTATTGTGGTGCTTGTTTCGCAGGTGGAGGCGATTCCAGCGGTGGTCCAGGCGGTAGAGAGCGACTCAGACAGCGGGATGGGATCTCCAGCTGAGGAGATGGTCCAAGAGACGAGCAACAACAGAGAAGAACTTCCAGGTGAAGAAGTACAACAATAGCAGATGTGGGAAGGAGTTACGCAAATATCTGACATCGGAGTAAACAAACCAAGAGTCAAGAGTGATCTGTTTTTGCCAGTCTGAAGGTGGAAAACGATACAAAAACGTGTTGACAACTTTGAAAACATTAACAGTTAGCACATTTATTTTAAAAACACAAAAGTAAAGTTCTATCCAGCCATAAGTTAGACAGAAAAAACACTTCAGTTTGTGCTGCATGACATGAAACTCCTGGTTTGATTTGCGCTGATAGTTGTGCTGTTACTAAATAGTTTTTCTGTTTTGTCAGATTCTGACGATGATGAGGAAGAGATCGTAGCTCTCAGAAAGCCTCACCGCAACGCCATCCGAGACAGCGACAGTGAGGAAGAGGAGGCAGCTGCAGAGAACAGCATCAACATGGCAGAAGCTCTGGTTCTGTCCACCTCCAGCGGAGACGAGATGGAGACCGGAGGGGCGGAAGAGAAGGACGAGAGGAAAGAACGGGACGTCAAGAAAAGCAAGAGAATCGGCCGAGCTCCTGCCGACAGCGAAGACAGTGAAGCCGAGCAGGAGAAAAGAGCAGAAACCGAGGAGCTGAAGAAAGAAGTGAAATCAACGAAAGAACGGAAGAAGAGAGAGAAGAGCCAGAGACATCGGGAGAAAAAGGAAAAGCGAAGCAAAGCCGTGGAAAAACTGAAGAAGAAAGAGAGATTCTCTGAAAGAGATGAAGTAAGTTCTTCTGTCACCAAACTCTTTGTACATTTATCATCATTTTACACATGAAGTACTGATATAGTAGCTTCAGTGAACACCNAGAGATCAGAGTGGCTGAGAGGAGCTACTCTGAGAAGCTGAAGAACCGGTTCTCAGCTAACGACCCTGCTTCAGTGTGGAGAGGCCTTCAACACATCACCAACCTCAAGAGATCATCCCCCCCCCCCACTGAGGCAAACAAAAACCTGGCCAACGACCTGAACTTCTTCTACTGCAGGTTTGAGAGTGACACATTCACACCCCCCCCCATAGCCTACCTCTCATCCATAACACAGCCACACCAATTAGCCCCGTCACACCTCAGACTGCCCCCCAAACTGCCCCCCATCACACTCACATCAATAATCAGTATTTCTATTTTTTTTTAAATTACATTTGACCATAAAATTAAACCATTTTCAATGTATTTAAATTATATTTTAAAAACCGGGTATTGTGTTTAATTCTAATATAATTATGTAAATTATTTTACAGATTTTTCAGGTTTTGTAAAATTACTTGTAATAAAAGGTAAAAATTTTTACATGTTGATTGTTAAAAAAAAGGAAAAAAAAGCACACACCAAAATTGTAAATAATGTTTATGCCAAAAATATGTGTTTTTCCAGTAGTTTGAGGTTGTTGTTTTTTACATTTGACCATAAAATTACACTTTTTGTGAGGTATTTAAATGCCATTATTTGAAAGAAAAATTGTGTGTTAGGTTTAATTATAATGTAGTTATGTGAATTGTTTAACAGATTTTTCATGTTTTGTTAAATTACTTGTAATAAAAGCTAAAATCTTTACATGTTGATTGTAAAAAAGTGGGAAAAAACTGTAAATAATGTCCATATCTAATATCTTTGTGTTTTTGCAAATGATCATTTGGTTTCTTACAAAATTGGATCATAAAATTACACCATTTTTAAGGTATTAAATGCCATTATTTTAAAGAAAAAAATTGTATTGTGTTTAATTCATGGAGGATTTTAACAGAGTGAGGTTGAACCAAGAACTGTCACAATACAAACAGCACATTAGCTGTCCCCCCAGAGACAGCAACACACTGGACCACTGCTACACCGTTATTAAAGGAGCAGACCACTCTGCTACCCGGG